TGTGTAAATTATGTGCATTTGCGTGCATGAGATGGAGAGACTTGTGTGTAATTTTGTTCAATCATACTTGGGCATGTTTGAGTCGAATTAAAATTTGATTTTAATTTAAATTAAAGTCAAACAATCAATATTAACCATATCTTTCGTGAGTCACATCTTTTCAACCACGCATTTCAAAAACTTCTATCACAATCCAATAAAAATCTAATTTTAATACTCACCAAACACCCTCTTGGTATATATAACAGGATGACAACTTTGTTTACAGAATGACGTGTGATATTATGTATTTGGACAACACACCACACATTGTCAACCTAGATCGTACAAATAGCAAAATCCAATTTTGTTTGTCGTGGTAATAGTGATTGAATATGTCAATAAGACATCTGCCTATCGTTTGATTGATTTATTGCATTGGTCAACAGAGTTCTTGCAATGATATTCTGGATTCCAAGGGAAGGATTCGCCGAATCGATTGAGTTCTTGCGATTTCTTAGAACGTGACATTACCTGCTCTCACATGCCATATAAAAAAAAACGACAGAATAGAGTGGACAGGTTTTATTCTACAATACAAGTAAATGTAAATCCATGCAAAGGGGTCTTATTTTCCCCATTTCCATTATTCTCAAAGCTTGTTTACTCTATGAGAAGACTTGATCCTTTAAAGAGGATGAACCCCTCTTTGACAATTATTATTATTTGGAAAAAAAATGAAGTTTTGAATAGTAATTTTTTTTAAAATGCGTGGTTAAAAATTAGGAAATTTTTTTGAGTTTACGTTTAAAATATTTTATTGTGAGAATGCTTGGTTGAAAATGGATATGTAAAAAAAAAAAGTTTTGAAATAATGGTTGTCAAACATAGGCTAAATCGTTTCTTAAGAGCATTCCCAAGAGATTTTTTAAATATAAGATACTATTTATTTTAAACAGTCAATTCTTAAAATTATGTTTTAATAGACTCATTAAATTATGCTCTCTATAATTAAATGTATTTAAAGTATTTTAATTTTCATAGAGAGTTATGCTCTCTATACAATTTTTATTGATAACTGTGTTGACAATTCACGTATTGTCAATAAAATTATCAATCATGGTTGTACATAGAAAATTTCTCACAGGAATAATTTGTTGTACGCTTTATGGTAGCCTACTGAAAGATTCCCCAAACTAGCTGCTAAAATGTATCATCGTCATCCACTAGAACTAGAGATCATTTGGCATAGCTCAATTTTTTTTTACTTATAAGTGATATTTAAATTTTAATTACAAGTAGCAGTGATTTTTAAATATGTATATTTTGATAAAACTGTACTTATAAACAGCCAAACATTCGGCAATAGTCAACTATTCTAAAGTATATCAATAAATAACTAATAAAGTATTTAATTTAGTAGTAAAAAGAGCTATACAAATCAGTTTTTTAAGTAGCAATTGTTTAACTTGTAAGTAAATTTTGAAAAAAGTAGGTGAAAAAGAGCAATTATAAGTAGAGATATATAGAGTCCAGCCTTATAAATTCGTTTTTAAGTAGCAACGATTTAACTTATAAGTAAATTTTAAAAAATATGAAGACAAAAAATGGTGTTTAGAAGAAAAGGTCCAACCTAATCAAAATAAAAATTGAAAAGAAGAGAAACTTGCTAAAAAATTTAGGGTCTGTTCTCTTTACTGTTTTCATATCATTTTCAGTTTTCGAAAATATTAAAAACACGTTTACTTACTTATTTTCAGAAACGAATTTCCAAAAATGAGTTTAAAATACAAAGAAAACGGAAAACGCTAAAAATGTCGTTTTGACTGTTTTCAGTTAAAATCAAGCCTTACTTCATTTTTTTTTTTATTTTTGAAAACAAATTTTCAAAATGACAAAAAGAACGCGTTTTTAACAATGTTAAAATGGACACTCAAAACACAAAATCCAAAATAAATTCAAAACTCTAAACTAAAAACGGAAACACGAAGATAACGATCCATTAACTTTGGGGATGCTCATTTGAATTATAACCCCAATTCATTGCAAATAACTTATTGGCCTATTTGGACAAGGACGTTAAACAACCCATATGCAAGTTAACAGGTCTCGAGAATGCGGCATAAGTGGGGAATATTGAAGAATGTAACCTTAGGGCCACCTTGGCTGTTGGCTCCAATTCAAGATGGGGCCAAGTTCTGAGAAGTTACAATTAATTTAGCCAGAAAGAACTTTTGAGTGCTTGCTTTTACTGCACCATCAATTATTTATTGAGGAATTATACTAAGTGTACATTCCATTGATTACATCTAGGCATACATCGTGTGAAAATTTAAAAAGTATTGGGTGAAAAAGTGTATTATTTTTAAAAATTGTTCAATCGTGTGCTGATACGTGGCACACTGTAAAAAATGATGTGAAACAAGAAATACATGTATAGTGTGTGTGTAAAACCATGGAGGCATACGAATCAGAATTAGCAGCTATGTTGGAATTTAGAGAGACTTCCCTTGTTTGTATTAGTTGTAACCTCTGTTGTCGATTGATTTGATTTGCTTCATAGTACTAGAGCATAATTCACTTGGTGGATACTCAACAAGGGATTAAGTGTTGGAAGTAGTCACCGAATCTTCGGAACTATGGGCAAAAAATACTCCCATTAATGCTTAAGTTTGCGACGTTTCCGGTGTTGGTTGTTCTTCTTCCAAGATCGATGGAAAGTTTTCAGTTTTCGTTTACGGGGCCTTGGTATTAGTAAGTTACCCTAAGTTTTACGTGTTTGAGATTCTTGAGACCCTGTTGGGCTCTTTTTAGTCATTAAAAAAAAATAACATTTAAATTGCTCGAGTAACTTTATTTCGTGTTCATTTGCAATTTTACTTTTGTGTTTATGGTTGAATATTTGGTGATTATGGCTGAATCTTCAGTTCCTAGGCTTTTCACTTTGTAATTCATTTGTGAGTACTTCTTGTTCTAACTTTCAATTAATTAACCCTTCTTTAATTTGATCGACCAAAACAATATAATCAACTAATCATATACACTAAGAGACCTCATCTTGAATATGTTATATAATCTCGTCCATGACTAAATTTATTTTTAGTTCAAAATTTGTTTTAATTCAACAACTATAAATAGCATGTTATATTAATAATGTAAATAAAACATAAAAAATCTTAGGTGGACTCGACTTGACCTATAATTAAAGTTGTAAAAAAAAAAAAAACTTTCCTCGTCATCAAACGAGGAGCACGATGTAAAAATTTTAAAAATTACACTTCATTCATTCGACTTCTCCTCATCGTATGACGTTTCTCTGGCACATGATGACTTTCAAATTCATTGCTTGCAGGAGATTTTATAAATTTAGTACACATTTGAAAGTCTACAAGTGCTTATAAGTTGGTCGAACACTATTTTTATTCATACAATATTACATATGAGTTATGACTCATAATTTTAACCACATATTTCTTAGAACTTAGACTTATAAGCACTTATCATAGTATTTGAAGATCGAAAAAGTTCATAGCTTCATCGAAGTTTCTATGAATGTATTCAAAAGCATATCGGCATATTCCTTTTGCTCATGTAGAATTGTGGTGCCAGGAATCCCTTATTATTAGATTTCAATTAACTATTGAACAAGATTTTAGTGTATCGACTCTTTCAGATCAACTTCAGGGCCAACCTAGTTCAACAACACTATAAAACCACATTCCACGTGTCGCTCACGTGCACTATAAACTAAAATATCTTTATTTTTATCTTGACTCCCACCGGCTTGGTTGACCAAGCTGACCTTTAACTTGGAAAAAGCCATAGAGATGAGGACAACTTGAAATAGGGGTTGTTGAATCATTTTAAAAGCCATAGATACAAGCTTAACTTGTAAATTCGTTATGTATAAAGGATTCAACCCTACTACATGTACATGGAGAATTGTCAATAACATATTTTATGAGATTCATAACTTTTCAATTATATATTTAATTAACTTTTATCAAATTTTACTGAAAAATTGATTTTATTAACCTACCAATGGGTTTAATCTGCCGGTTACTAGTTTGCAGAGGTATATTAAAGGCACAGCATTTATGCCTATAACATTTCATACTAATTTCTAACTTATTCATACATGCCATTTCCACATAATCACAATTTTTTTCAAGATCAATAAAAATGATAATCAGGTTTTGCTTCAAAGCACAAACCAAAAAATTTTCTAGAGTTCAATGATGCAAAGAGAAGATACTTCCAAATAGCCAAATGTGTGGCTTCTCAACATGCACAAGCCTGCCAGCCCTCCAACACCCCACACCACCCCCACTACGCAGAGAAAATGGAAAATCCCACAAAAATATACGTAGCCAGCAAGTTATGGGTGCATAAATACGAGCAGTCTCCATCATCCCCTCGACAGTGTGCTCTCACTCGCGAGAAGGCGGAAGCTTTGCTGTCTAATCTGTATACAAAACAAAACCATTAACTACTCTTTATGAAACCAAAGAATGTTAAATCTTTTGGAGCCGCGTTTTGACAGTGGTTTTGCAGAACAATCATTATATTACACCCTAATCAAACTTCCCACGCTGTACTTTACTTTCTTGCTGTCTCTATCTCTCTTAATACAATGCACAACAAATTTTGCAAGTAATCAAAACCCAAGAAATAAAAAAAAGGGTTTCTAAACTGTAATTGAAAGGTCTTATTCATAGCAGGTTCCACAATTTCGACTTTTTTCTGCTGCTTCAAATAAATGTTTAACAATCACTTTTCTTTCCATCAACTTTCCCTTTTGATGACCCCGTAGAAAACTAGGTCCAAAAGCATTCTGAATTCAGAATCCTAGCTAGCCTAATTGCTGAGACTCTTTAAAGAAGAAGCAAAACACAGAAATATTGCAACTTATTATTTATGGCGTTCTTGTTCCACAGTAATGGTGATCCATCTTGTTCTTTCAGCTTGTAGTTTGAGGTTTTTCTAGAGGGTTTTTGTTGGGTCCCTCTCTTTAGAGAAAAATGGATGACAGTAAAGGAGAAACTACCAAGAAACAACAGCATTTATCGACTTCTCCGAATGACCCAGATCAAGAATCAACAGAAACCACCCCACCGCCGCCACAAAGTCACCAGCAACCACCGGGAATAGTGGTTTCTGGTGGCGCTTCGTTTATTCCTCCGCCTTTGTACATCCCAAGTGGTGGAACTCCGGTTTCACTTGAACAACATCAGCAATTTGAAGCTTTCAATCCAAAGAGACCAAGATACACAACAGGTCAATGGAAATTATTGCCATCTCCATCTCAGCAAAAGCAAAGCCAGTTAAATATATTGAGCACCGAAACAAGCCCTTCTCCTTCAGGACCCACAACTGCCACTGCCGCCGCAAATCGACCACCACCTCAGCCTCAGAACACGACTGCTTCATCATCAGACACGACGTCATCTCCTTCTCATTCTCCTCATCGGTTTGCCGCCTCCGGCCAGGAAACCAGCAAGCCTCAGGATGAACAAGTATTTCGCCAACAGTTCAGAAAGGGCAAGTATGTTAGCCCAGTTTGGAAACCTAATGAAATGCTGTGGTTGGCGAGGGCTTGGAGGGTTCAGTATCAAGGTGGATCCGAAGGTTCAGTCTCTTCAGTAGAGGGTGCTGCAGCCTCTGTAGGTGAAACGGCGACGGGAAGGGGGAAAACACGAGCTGATAAAGATAAAGAGGTTGCTGATTTTTTGAATAGGCATGGGGTGAATAGGGATGCCAAGACTGCCGGTACAAAATGGGACAACATGTTGGGTGAATTTAGAAAGGTTTATGAATGGGAGAGGGGAGGTGAGCGAGAAGTGGGTAAAAGTTATTTTAGACTCTCCCCCTACGAGAGGAAACTTCATAGATTGCCTGCTTCGTTTGATGAAGAAGTCTTTGAAGAGTTGGCTCAGTTCATGGGACCAAGAATGAGGACTCCACAAAGTAGAGGTGGCGCAGCAGTTATTCCCGGCGGTGATGACAGCCGGTTACCTTTTACTACCGGCCACAAGTCTTTGCCTCAACAGCAACCTACATTGAGAGATGATGACCCACTATCTGGTACGATTTTTCACATAACAATGCATTAGGATTTTTCTTCTTGCTTTAACTTTTTTAAGCAATGTATAAAGAGCACATAATCTCCCACGACTTATTTGTCTAAAAATAACACTTTCTTAAATACATTTTTTGTTGCAGCAAGGACAAAGCAGCTGGTAGTTACAAGTGGAGTAGGAGAGCAGCAATTTTACCATGGAATAAGAGGAAGCTTATTAGGGTTAGAAAGCTCTTCATTAGAAATTGCAGGTGCATCCTCATACTCAACCTCATCCAAGGAGCCTCGCAGAATCGGCAAAATAAGAATGTTATGGGAAGAATCGGTAAACCTTTGGGGTGAAGAAGGTGAACATAGTAACGTGGGTAGGGTTAAGCTTCAAGGTTCAAGCTTTTTGAACGCAGATGAACTGACATTTCTGGATGATTCTATGGTGGTTTGTACAATGGAAGCCTTTGAAGATGGACCTCTCAAAGGCTTTTCTGTGGATAGATTCGTTTCTGGACAGCAAGTCAAAGTCTTTGGCAGAAGAAAATCTTCCATAGCTCCTGCTCCTTCTGGTATATATAATCCCTTTTCTTCGATATTCGAATTCTTAACTGTGTACTACTTTTGTTTTTTATGTAACGACTTGCGTTTTTATCCTAGGTTTTAATGAAAGATCCCAGCTTCGTTCCACAGAGCTCCCTGTTAGATGTAAGTCCATTTCCTGTGTAAGACTACTGTATATACACACTTATCACTCTCTAATAAAAAATGTCATCTTGTCCAAGTCTGATTCAAATTATTTATATTTAAATCCCCTCCTCTCTCTCTCTCTCTCTCTCTCTCCCTCCCCCTCTCTCTCCCCATATGTACATTAATTATCAATTTATTGACAACTGCATACTGATTAATGCATTTGCATCAAAGTTTTTGTTTAGTAATGTCCATTTCTAATGCATACATTCAATAAAAATTCATCTTGGTGTAGCTATTCCTCCATTGGAATTTCAAGATCCGACGGAGTACTACGTGGGGTGCCTGCGAGTCCCGCCTGCAACGCTACCGAGTTTGTTTGAACTCTCGTGGCACTTGCAAGAGCCGCCCCCAGAAGAGCTTCGGTTTCCAGTTCGGAAAGATGCGTACAGAGATTTGCCTCAAGGGAAAGAACTATTCTTTACTACCTCTACAGAACTATTAGACTGTAGAGCAATAACATACGACATTTTGAGCCCAATTATGCGACCAAACCCTAGTCTTAGTGGTGCAACATCTACTAGTAGAGATTCATTCATTGGCCTATGGGATGATTGCATAAATAGGATCATTTCCAAATTCTGTTCCATTGAAATGGTCTTCATTCGAAAATCTTCATCTTCGTTAGCAGAAACTGTAAAAGATCAATGGCCTAATGTAACTGGTTTCGTAAGAAATTTCTGCTTGTGGAGAGGAGAAGAAACTGATCAATTAAGGGAAGGCCACCTTGATCCCTCCAATTCCATTGTTGACAAGCTTTTGTGGACCTATATGGATCTTCCTTACGTTCTTGGATACTATGCTGTTGGCTACATTGTAACATTTTGTGCGCTAAGCCGATCAGAGGATCGTGTTATAAGAACTGATCTTTACACGATTGACCTATCTACACCGGTGGAGAGAACAAAAGCCCTAGTCCCATGCTGGAGAATCGCAGGTTTATTGCCATTGTTAGCTGATAGATGCTATAATTTCATCACCAATGGCAATAGCTATAAGATGGTACCTTATAGTGATTTCGAAAGAATCGATTTAGGGGATGGGAATATCATGGAATTGACACCAAACACAGTGAACAGATTATTCTCAAGTAAAAGAAAATGGGCAGCAGTGAAGGAAATTTATGATTTTCTTGATCACAGAATCCCACATGCTGAATTTATTATCCGATCTTCAGAAAAAGATTTGGCAATGTTGCTCAAGCCTAGAGGTTTCAAATTTAGGCCAGCAAATTGTGGTCAATTAATTGAGGCTCTAAAGCATGTGACAAAAGCATTGGTTGCATTACATGATCTTTCATTCATGCACAGAGACTTAAGTTGGGACAAAGTAATGAAGAGAATCGATAGAGAGAATGAATGGTTTATTACGGGCTTCGACGAGGCGAAGGGTGCTCCACAGTTGTACCCCCACGGTGGGCCGTCGACTGGAAGGCACGCACCGGAGATGGGGCGGGGCTTGCATGGGGTGAAGGTAGACGTGTGGGGAGTAGGTCAACTAGTAAAGACTTGTGGATTGGTGGGCGTGCCTAAATTGCTTAGGGAGTTGCAGAACAGGTGTTTGGACCACAACCCAGAGCAGCGGCCGACGGCGGCGGACTGCTACCACCACCTGCTGCAGCTTCAGTCTTCAATGTCAGCTGCCGCTACCGGAGGTTATTGATGTGAGTGATCAATGTGTATCTATTCATGCAGACATTACTTTGTGGGTTGGTTCAACCTAGCTTGATTTGGCTATCTTTGTTTAATCAACCTTATTCAAGTTTCAATTTTTTTATTATATGTTCCATCGATGAGTCTAGTCTAGAGATATTTTAGTGGTTTATAGGTGGCGGTGCAATGTCAACTCTTTCTATGGAATTTGAATTTAAAGACAGAGGAGTTATGTCCTAGGGTTTCGGAGGTCATTTTGGCTGGCTATTTAAAAATTAGATGACAATTTCTGTTCTTGAAGATAGTAATTTGAGATAATTAGAGCATGTTTGGCTTAAAAGAAGCTACTTATTTTAAATGTAATTTTTACTTTCTTGTTAAATTTTAAGTGGATTATTTATATATCGTATCTGTAGAATAAATAGATAAATTAAATAGAGAGATAATTCATTAAGTATTTTTACACATAAATGATGCTATTGCTAGGTGATGGACAAGTTCATGGTGAATTTAGGAATTTAATCAGATTTATTGGGTAGATCAGTTCTTGCGCACTTTCTTTTTATGATTATTTTTACACATAAATGATGTTAATAAAAACATCTATATGATATACATTAACGGCTAGTTTTTCAATTTTAATCTTTGTCGAACACGCCCTAAATTGGAGGCTGCACAAAAAAATAAAATAAAATAGCAAATTGAACTCATTGGTTAAATCCATATGGACTTGCCAACGGTTTGATCTAAGATCGAACCAAATCATTTCAACAATCAAGATTTACGCATCATGATTTTTGGCAGTTGTGAGTTAGATAATAACTCGATCTCTATCAAGTATTTTCTTTTTAGTTGTCGAGAATCTGAGTTCACTTTATCCGTTCAAGATGATTGCACTTTAAACCGAAGTCTTTTTACCGTTCTCTAATTGTTCTAATGAAATACAATCTCTCATTGTGAATAGTTTTACAAGTTCCACTCAGGGAGTATTAGATGATGATAATGTTGTAAGGTTAACTAACCACACTCTAGACTTTTCACATACACTATAAATCATACAAAATTCTACCAATAAATAAAAAAAAGACTTCCGTTAATCATTTCATAAAAAATCATGAGCACGACTCAAATATGAAATTTCACATTTCTTAATCTTGTAATTCAAAGTTACGTGTTAATCATTAACACTGACTACGTAGAGAATCTTGAAATTAGATTAAGATAAAAATATAATTACTATTTTGTTATTAGCTAGCTTGTTTCTAGTTTAAAGAAGATAAGAGAGATGAGGATAAATATTTTCAGCATTTTTGTCGTCTTGAAAGGGGAGGGCCCGCTGTCTAGACTGCATTTTGAGAGTTTGAACACCATCCTATTTTAACCAAAAATACAATCCAATCAAAAATATCTAACCTTCCTTCCTTATGAGTGGAAATCCAATCCCGTTTTGTCTTTTTTTAGATGAGGATAAATATTTTCAGCATTTTGTCGACTCCTTAATTAAATATAGTATGATTAACTAAAAATATAAATCGTAAGTCGCATTGAAGTAAACCTTTAGTCCTACATACTCGAACAAATTGTAAGTCGCACGTGACCTCTTCAGGGCGAAGGGAGGTTGCCACAGGCACTCCGACGGTCAAGTTAGTCAATATATAAGTAAAAGGTGTGACACGAGCTAAAGACGTGATTCGTGAAATATAAAGAGATCAGATCCGAGAGGGTATGAAGGAAATATATTGAGAGCAAACTTCTAGTTTTGAGAATCTAAAATTGTATTACCTTCAAATGGCACTATGTATGAGATTTTATAGTAATAGAAAAGAAATGATTACTGTTGAATGAAATGACACGTGACCTCATCTTAACGGTCGAAATCTCTTCCTAGGTATCACTCCATCAATCGTAAGCTGACGGACATTTAATGCTTTTGACTTGCAGCCACTATAAATCCTAATCCGACCTCTAAAGTATAGACTAACAATTTGATCTTTTAGGTATCTGTCATCGAACTGTGCTAATAGAAAAGACAAAAAAATAGAAAAAAATAAGATCTTTGTGTAGATTAATTGCAGTTGGACATCTAGGCACGTAATTATTTATTAAGCAATCTCTGATTAAATATAAATAATTATTTATTAAGCAACGTGGTATCCGAAAATCCCAACTCAATACGATCATGCTATTTGTCTTAACATGCTCGAACAAGACAAAGTTTGCCAACTTGACCTAATCTAACATGTAATAATATAAGAATAATACTATCAAAGTATAATATTAATTAAGAATGAATACGAATATAAAACAACAAATTTAGCATATGACTATATATCATACAAAATGATTAGAGCTTAAATATAGATTTGCAATGTATTTTGGAGGGATTCGTATATAATAAGAGGATACAATTCATTATGCAAGTCCTGTTGTTTTTCCTTTTGGTTCAGACTGCCAATGTGGACATTTGCAATGTATTTTAATAATGTCACAATTAAGAATAAAAAACAAGGATTTAATTATTATGGAAATAAGCTAAAAAAACAAATTATATTACACAGAGGGTCACGTGCTAGTCCCCTCACCTAATGCTAGAAGAAATTCTTTTGGGCATGAAAAACCAGAGCTGCTGTTCAGTGTTGCTCATGGCTTTGTTGTCCAATCATTATGGGTTTAGAGATCCTTAATTATAATTAATTAAAGTAATGTCGAAATATCAATAGGGTGCAATTAGAATGACAGCTGTTTTAATTCTTTTTTTTTCAAGGCGTAAATATCTTTGAAAATTATCTTTTGTTACTCAGACTTAGCCTTTGTTATGTGGAGATTAAAATTAGATTTTTAGTAAATTTTGATAAAAGTTGATGAAATACATGGTAAAAAAGTTGTAAGACCAATGAAATATGTGATTGATATTGATTGTTTTAAAATTTGAGAGAGAAGAAAACTTAGAAAAGATCATTGCTTTTAAACTATCCCTGCCAATCCCCCACCCCCCCCCCCCCACACACCCAACCCGCCCCACCCAATTCCAATCATCCTTGACCTTAAAAAACGAATTATTCTAGTTGAATAATTCTTGAATATCTCCATACTAATTTCCATTAATCCTCAGATTCCAAGAAGTCAACATGATTAATGATACAGCGGTCCCTTGAAAGTATTGAAGCAAACAATTGACAGGGAAAAACGTACCAACGCTTTTTTGTTATATATTGAAGATGGCATTCAAAGCCCATCATGTCTTAGAGCTCGCAGCTGGCTCAGATCTTCACTCTCCTCTCCGCCTCTCTCGTTGCTGACCAATTTCTGATTTGCTGGCTTTATATGCTTTACACGTGACAAAAATATTGTTCCTTTTCATACTTTGAATTTCTTCAAAAAAGTGGGAGAAACTTATGGTGAAACGATGTGAAGAAGGTTTAGAGACAGCAACAACGGAGTTCTGGAGGCATGATGGTCGAAATTGTTGAGAATTAGAAACTTTAATTTTATACCAACAAAAGCCATAAATCCGCAATAAGTAAATAAAAAATGCACAAGATTTGTAGAGGTTTTTCTCGATGAAAGATTACATCATCTTCCGTTGATATGGTGATTCACTATCACGAAATAAATTTACAAGATAAAAAATGTAATAATTAGGTTTCACAACTTAACAAGGGTATCAGGCCCAAATTGAGAGGGGATCGAAGTTGACAGGTTCAACTCATCGGAATTTAAGATTTGGGATGTGTCTGCTTGGGACGGGGCAACAGACTCATTGGTTTGTGGTGGTAGAACTGGTGGTGGGGGCGGAGATTGGAGGTTTTGAGAACTTTAATTCTCTCTCTTTGATATCGTTTTTATTAAAACTAATAGATAAGGGTTCAGTGGCCAAAAATTTTACCCTCCTAACTTACGTCGTTTGCAAAGCACGCACCTATTTAACAAAAGAAATTGATGGAATAAGACGAAAATGACCATTTTCGCAATGAAATGTTGATTTGAGGGTGCAAATATCAAATTTAAAATAATAGAGATGATTTGCATAAGAAGAACAAATATTAAGGACTTTTTGTACCAATTACTTTTTTTAATTGATTTGCATAAATCTTGATTACAATTGATTTCAAGAAAGAAATAAGCATAGAGGGGAAAAGTTTATGGGTTTGTTTGGTACAGTACATAGTATAATAATTAGAAAAAAAGTAAACTAATTTGGTTAAAACATGATTAATAAATTAAATATTGACAAGGAGCAAAATTAATCACGTTGTTAATTTGAGCTCATCCGACTGATCAACAACTATTCGAACTCAAGTCAAATGACAAAACTCATAAAAGGCCAAAACATAAAGCAATAATTTATAATATCAGTTGAATCTTAAATAATATTGTAATCCCCATATTAAATTTAAGTTATGTTAAGTTGATAAAAAATTGTAATCCCAAGCTTAGATGCTCATATTGATCCCTTTTTTGCTGCATGTACCCTATCTGTCCAGCCGCCATTAACGAACATAAAGCATACATATCTCTTTCTTTACTAGTTGTCAAGATTCAAATGATAATCTTTTCATATTAAAAAAAGCATAAGTTGTAAGATGAAAAGTTTTCTAAAGAAAAAATTATATTGAAGGCTCTGTTATTCTCATTAATTCAACCCAAATTTATACGAGTGCTGCAACACAATTGGAACAAAATAAGGAATGATTACAAAGATTAAAAAACTAAATAATAAGGATTTTTAAGTGATTTGATCATATGGGCTCTTGTCCAAAGACTTGTTAAAGACATAAGCTAGTTGAGACAATGAGGATATATAACAAGTGACAAGGGGTCCCATAGCAACCTTTTTGTGAACAAAATGATAATCTAGTTCAATGTGTTTGGAACTTGCATGGAACATGGGATTTATGGTCATCTAGGTGGCTTAGAAAGTTGAACACCAATGTCTCACAGAACATAGGTCAGACAAGTTAATTTTGCTATGGTCGACGCCATCAAACGATATCAGCTTCTGAACTTGATCGTGTAACAATAGCTTGCTTCTTTGAGCACCAAGAAACACAATTTGCACAGAGGAATACACAAAACCTGTTGTACTCTTCCTAGTGTTGGGGTAACTAGCCCAATCTGCATCACTAAAGGCATAAAAAATGAGAGGACTTTGAGAAAGATACCTAATGCCAAAGGCCAGCGAGATATCTTAGAATATGCTTAAAACTCTTTTAAGTTTGCCAATGTTGGACTACTAAAATGCTGACAAACTTTGTTGCTTGCATACGTAATATCTGGCATGGTGAAGGTAAGATATTGTAAAGCACCAACTATGCTTCTAAAGAGAGCTGCATCCACAGTAATTGAATCTGAAGATCTGAACTTATTTTGAAGTGTCATAGGTGTTGCTTGAGGAACCTAGATCTTTAATGGAAAATTCAGTTCCAAGCATCATTATTAGATCTGTAATGAAGTTATCATCATTCCCTGCAAGTAGAATATCATCTATGTAGACAAGCAATATGACATTTATACCATTCTGATTGTATATAAAAAGAGATGGATCAACTTTGCTAGTAAAAGCCAAGATGAAGAAGATACGGTCAAATCAGGCACGCAATGCTTGTTAAGTCCATAGAGAAATTTCATAAGGAGACAAACATGATCTGACTTAATTTTATCAACGAATCCGAGAGGCTGTTCCATATAAACAAGTTCCTTGAGATGACCATGCAAGAATGCATTCTTGACATCCATCAAGTTATTGCATTTTCCACTTAAATGCGAGAGATGAAGCAATGACTAGCCAAATCATTGTTGGCTTTACAATTGGACTAAAGGTCTCATCATAATCAAGCCCCGATACTTTTGTAAATCCCTTTGCTACAGACCAAGCCTTAAATCGATCTATAGTTCCATCTTCTTCTTTTTTTATTCGATAAACCTATTTGGAGCCTACAACATTGACATCATTTGGACGAGGAACTAGTTTCCGGGTATTGTTGTCATATAAGGCTTGCAATTCTTCTTACATTGCATGAACCCAATGAGGATCCTTCAAAGCTGTCTTCAAAGTCTTTAGCTCGAATGTTAACGGATCTGAATTATTTTTAACAGTAACAAGTACACACCGGATGATTCCTTTCTCATCCACATTTTCCATGTCTAGTTTATCATTCGTAACAAGATGGTGGTATAAACGAAGACCACAGACTAGAGGGATGATTTGTGAACACCATAGGATGAAATTGGAATTGCTTAATTTAACTGAAATTAAACTGGAGCATTGGTGAAAATTTTGGAGGTTTAGTTCAGGTTCTTCCTTTGGAATAGAAGAAGATGAAGACATTTTATTTTGGAATAGGCTTGCAGTCAAAAGCTCTGATACCATGAAAAGTTTTCTAAAGAAAAAATTATATTGAAGGCTCTGTTATTCTCATTAATTCAACTGAAATTTATACAAGTGCTGTAGCACAATTGGAACGAAATAAGGAATAATTACAAGGTTAAGAAACGAAGGGCATGTTCTCTTTACCGTTTTCTATTTTCGATTTTTCAAAACAGTGAAAACGCGTTCTCTTTCTTATTTTCGAAAACGTATTTTTGAAAACAAGTTTAAAATTTACAAAAAAACTCAAAAGGACAAATTTGTCGTTTTTGGTGTTTTTAGTTATAATTTGGCTAAAATTTTCAAAACGCGTTTTCGTTGTTTTCAGTTACTATCACCCCCAACCACCACCATTCCCGCCTGCAAAACACCACCAATCGTCGGAACCACCACCACAGCCACAACATCACCCCAACCAACACCACTGTCGCCGAACCACCACCACTGCCGCCACCACACAACTGCCAGATCACCAACCACAATCATCACCACAAAAACTGCCACCACACGGTGCCACCACCATCATCATCACCAACCACAGTCACCACCAACACAAATTTTCAGTTTTCAACCTTAAGTTCACCTATAAAATCAGCGAGCTGTGGTTGAAATTGAGTTTGACCCATGATTGGGGTAGGTGCGCCAGAGGGAGAGGAAGGTGACCCATGTGGTCTGTGACCATGGGTTGAACGGATGTTGCCAGTGTTAAACAATCCAAAGAGAAGAATAAAAAGAGGCTAGGGTTTTATTGATTCTGCATAATGTAATTGAATGAATAAAACCTAGATACAAAGAGACTATATATAGTCTAAAATAAAGAAAACTTAAAAGACTATTCTACCCTTAATAAATAATGTTAACAAAATAATCATATATTTCTTAACATCTCCCCTCAAACTCACGATGCAGCAGCTACAAGCATCGAGAGTTTGCCAACTAGAAAACGAAAACGAGAAATAGAATGCGCCTTGGTAAAGAAATCTGCAAGCTGCAAAGAAGAAGAAACAAATGGCAAAGTAATTGTGCCATGCTTGAGATGATGACGAGTAAGGTGACAATCGATCTCAATGTGCTTAGTTCGTTCATGAAAAACCGAGTTGTGAGCAATCTGAATGGAACTCTGATTATCACAATACATAGGAGTGGGATGTGAAAGAAAAACTCCCATATCTGCAAGTAACCAACGTAACCAAACAATCTCTTTGGTAGTGGATGCCATAGCACGATATTCTGCTTCGGTTGAAGATTGAGACACAATAGATTGCTTCTTGCTCTTCCAAGAAATAAGAGAATC